GGTAAGTAATTGTAAGGCCTGGCCGATCTCCGCCAGCCACGCGGAGCATGGCCATATCAAGCTGGTGTTACCGGCGCGCCCCCGTTTCACTGATGGATGAGGACAATAATAAAGTAATTTATACCGTCCTCAACCATTCACCTATTTAACCATGTGTTTGGATATTCAGATGAAAGTAAAAGAAGATCGTTTCGGTGATCAGATCACCGACAAAGTTGACGTCGAGCTAGCTCTTCGAAGGGCGCAATTCTTAGTCTTGAACCGAGACATCGACCCGCAGACCGTCTTGGGGATGTCTGTTGACAGCTTGAAGGCTGGAGTCGGCAATTCCCTGGCGTTTTCGCGCAACATCGTCTGTGTCGATCTCGAAGGCCCCGACCTCACCGACCTGTCGTTTATCGACCTTCCAGGCAAGTCAACTCTACCCAATTCCACGACATTCTGAAAACCGAGAACGGGTCACAGGTTTGATCCAGGTCGCTGAAGAGCCTCATCTCGTAAAGCTGGTTGAAGACCTCGTTGTCGACCATATACAAGGAAACTCCCTTATATTGGTCACTGTCCCCATGCCTGGTATGTTCTCGTGGTTGTCTCTGATTATGGTGGTCTCAATGTGCTATATACAGACGACCTCGAGAATCAGAAAGCCTTGACCCTCGCGAACACGGCTGATCCGGAAGGCAAGCGTACAATAGGTACGCAATCCGTCAGTTCGTTCAGAACGCCGCCAGCATTAATTTCATTGTATTAGGCGTGCTCACGAAGGCAGATGTCGTCGCCAAGGGCTCGAAATCCCGCAATCTCTGGCTTGAGGTCATCGAAGGTCGCAGAAGGCCCCTGCTGCACGGGTACTACTGCACGCGTCAGCCAGACGACGACGAACGTGAAAGAGGCATCTCGCCCACGGAGGCACGTCAAGCTGAGGCCGCTTATTTCGACCAAAATGCGCCTTGGTCTACGTCGACACATAAACATCGCTTTGGAATCAAGAATCTGGCTGCGACGCTAAGCCCCCTCCTGGAGAAGGTCATCAAGGATTCGTGCGTTTTTAACTGACGTCGTCGTTGGATACACGCTCATCAGCGCACTTTCTCAGGCTCCCTAACATATACGAGAAGGCTACTGAATATTTGAGAGCATGCGAGGCTGAACTGGCGAGGCTTCCGAAAGCGGTGACGGGCGAGCCCGCAAGCTTCATGCTCAAGTGCGTCTCTCGCTACCATTCGCGTCGCATATATGCACTGATATCCTCCAGTCTTGTCACATCCCTTTGCAGTGACTTTGGAGAGTTAGCACAAGGCGGGCCCGGTTCGGAAGGGTTGGTGCAGGAGAGCAGGCTCGTCTTCAACAAGTTCAAGCACGAAATCCGCGCTACCACGCCAAATTATGTGCCCTCCCGGAAAGACGAATCTGAATTATGGTTTGAGAATCGCTTAGACGAAGAGGAAGAGGATCAAACAAGCGCTGCCAGCGTACCTTTTTTCCTAGACGATATGCGGGCGCACATCATGGGGTACGTCACGTTACTTCGCCAGTAGGCAGATCGTGATCTGTATTCTCCACACCAGATCTATCACACGCGAACTTCCCAACAACGTACCATTCTCCGCGAAGGTGACCCTTATAAAGGCCTTTCAGGAGAAATGGGATGATGCGGCGACGAGATGTTTCTCCAGTGTCGTCGCGGAGACCGAACAGGCTCTGCTAACTTGCGCGAAGATCAAGTTCGGTCGATGGGACCACCTCCATTCTATGATACGGTAAGCACAACGTCGCGAGGATGTCTTACCATGGTGAGACTTAGTTGTTTTACTTCTTGTCCAGTGCTTGCATCAATGACTTGATCAAGAAACATGCCGACACGTGCGAATCGTTCATCAAAGCGTCTCTGGAAGTGGAACATGCACCTTTTACGCAGAACACGCACTATCTCCAGTCGTGCAAAGAGAAATGGCTATCGAAGTACAGGGATGCGCGTGCGGGGCGGACAGCGATTAGTCAAGACCAGATTACCCAGGATGCCAGCTTGGCATATGGAGATGGTCTCGGCGGGCTGCTCAACACGGCACTATCGCAATTGGCTGCTCTCGGGTACACGGGCTTGAACAGCGAAGACCTGGGAAGATTGATTAAACCAGATCAGTACGAAACGGAGATGGAGGTGATGGCGGAAGTGCGGGGGTACTTCCAGGTGGCGTACAAGGTACCTCCTTAATGTCCCATCTGGAACGATAACGACTGATTCCTTGTCTGTGTCCAGAGGGTCATCGACTACGTTCCTTCGTTCATTGATCTCAAATTTATAAAAGCGTATGTTGCATGATACCCTTGATCTCAACCAACATTGATTCCTCGAATCGCTGTCTATGTACAGGGTAAGGGACGACTTGCAGCATCACCTTCTGGACTACTTGTCACTCGGTGGCCCGGACGCGACAGAGCGCTGTCGCCGGTATTTTTCCGAGGATCCGAATGTTGTAGCTCGGCGGGAGGAGCTAGTTGCACGCAAGGCCACTTTACAGAGTGTCAGGAGCGAGCTGTACAGCTTTGGGGTTTGAGTGCAACCTTCGAACATTTGGTGCGCAGTGCAAGTGTTACAGATTAACGTACAACAGTAGATCAGAAGCCTTGAAAAGCGGCAAAGCGTGTACAAGATGTGGCGTAATTACAATACGAGCTGAGTGGTGTGTGACTTGACGGGGTATATGTGTGCGCATGAACAAAGAACACCGGGTGAATGTCCAACTTTCAATCGTCCGTGACCTCAACTAAGTCCTCCCGGACCAGCCGCCTGCGCTGGTCGAACGGTCGCAAGTACTCTGCGGCGCGCTGTCCGAAGAGTGCGCAGCCGTCCAGAAACCCGTCAGGAAGCAGGTCCTTGCGCTGGTCCCGCGGCTCGACGTCGACGAGCGCGCAGCGCTCCAGACACACGAGCACCATGCCAAAGCTGTACGCGTCGGCGAGGCGCGCGTCCTGGCACTCGCCGCGGAGGATCTCCGGCGCGCAGAACGGGCGGGTGCCCGGGTGGATCTGCTCCGCCCGCGGGTGCGGCGCGAAGGGGTCGACTGGGGGCCCGTCCGGAGGCTCGAGTACCGAGGCAGCAGACGTCGAGCGGCCGAAGTCGAGCAGCTTGAGCGTGGTGCCGCGGTGAGTGACCTGGATGTTGAGCAGCGAGAGGTCGCCGTGCGATAGCCCGTGTGCGTGGATGTGCGTCAGCGCGTCGAGCAGCTGATTGTAGAAGTCGCGGGCACGCGCGCGCGCAAGGCCGGGGCGCGCAGAGATCAGAAGGTCGTAGAGCGTGCACCCGTCGAGGAACTCGAGGACCATGCCAATGCCATCGAGGCAGCCGAGGAAGGCAGGGAGATTGCGGTGGGGCGCGACGGTGGTGTACACGCGCAGCTCGGCGAGGAATTGTGTGGCGACGTCTGTCGCGTTGCTCTGCATCTCGCCATTGATCTCTAGTTGGACTACGTCCGGCTTCTTCACGATGCATTTGAAGAGCTCCGAAGCTGAGCCCTGGGCGAATGGCGCAAGAGAGGCGGTGGAATTTGGAGGCGCAGAGTAGATGGCTGGGGTCGGGAATGAGAAGATGGAGTTTGGATGGCGAGGTGGGGGGTTATATCCAGACGGCGACACGGACGGCGAGGGCGGGCGCGGAGGCGGGTTCGGGGTATAGTCTTCAAACACGGGTTGTCTCCGGTCCTCGTCCTCGTCCAACTCCACTGCACATCGAACGTTAGATCACGACAGACCTTCAACCTCAAGACACGCACCCATCCACCAATTCTTCTTGGACGTCAGTGAGAAGCGCTTGACGAACATCGAAGGCAGCGGCTTGTGCTGCGGGTTGGGTGTCCCCGGAGTGGGCGTCATGGGCGTGCTGGGCGCGACATTCAGAGGCGTCAAGGCCGAAGAAACCGTCCGCGAGCGACGGTACGATGGGGGATGATCATATTGCATGTTGTGGTCCTGATTAAGGCGCGCTGCCAGTGCGCTCATCGCCGCGCACTCATCGCGCACGTTGCTCCAGAGCCCAGATCGTCGTCATTTCCATCCGAACATTTCGAGGTGAGATGATGGTGGTCAAAGTAGGCAGACACATGCAAGTGCAATTGTGCAATCTGCCAGCTGTGAGACAGCTCCCAGAATCAGCTAATTAGTAGTGCCACCACCAGACAGCATCACGGGGGTCGAGGAACGCTCAAACCTTCGATTGTCTACTGAATGTTTACTCGAAAGACTGTTTTTTCATTACGATCGTAGTTACAAGACACGAGTTGGAAATCATCGCCCTGCAGACCAAGTCTGACGGGATGAGCGTGTGGGCACTCGGTCCGGTCCGAGAGACTACTTACACCTGCCGAATTCGAAGGCCAGGTGTAAGTAAAGTACTTGAGGGACGCGATTGAACCAGCGCGATACACATAGCCAGGCAGTCGAAAGCTCTATGGATCCATAAAGTCTGATCTGTGAACTACGAAGACAAAAGCAGTCGAAAATCACGGCTTGCAAAAGGGCTCAATCGGGAATTGAACCCGAGACCTCTCCCAGTTATTGGACTATTGTCCACGGTTTCGCAACCCGAAGGGAGAATCATACTACTAGACCATTGAGCCGATGGTGGACATAGGGAAATCATTGGCCAACACGATCCTTGGGACAACATCTAGCACTCTCTGCAAGCCAAGTGATTGGCGCGCACACGTCCTCGGACGCGACTTCGAGTGACGGCGCGGCCTGCCCTGCAGCTTCACGCCATGTCTCTCCTTCTAACGATATTTGCTCTTGTCTTTGTCACCGAAGCCATAACATGGATCGGCAAGTCCGTTCTACTGTCCTTCGTAAGCTGTCTGTCGTGCGGCCACCCCTGAAATCTACTGACCTCCCCAACCAGGCCTGGGCCGCCTACCAGCGCATATTCAACGCAGGTGCCGTTGCGCGCCAGCGTCAGCTCAAGACAGACATCCTTGCGAAGAAGAACGAGCTTCTCCAGACTAGTGCACAGGACCAGTTCGCCAAATGGGCACGACTGCGGCGTACCGTCGACAAAGGGCTCGCGGATCTTGAGAAGCTCAGTGCGTACTATCTACGTCTCTGCTCGCGGAATGCTCACGCCTATGTTTAGATACGGAACTCAACACATCCAAGTCCTCATTTTCGCTGAAATTCAATACCACTGTTTGGGTCCTCACGACCGGGCTCCAGTTCGTAGTGGGGTGGTGGTATCGGAAAGCTGCCGTGTTCTATCTGCCGCCTACATGGCTCGGCCCGTTGACGTGGTGGTTAGCCTTGCCATTCGCGCCTGCAGGTGAGTCTCTGCCAGATATTCGATACCTCTCGTCTCACTATGCCGTGCACAGGTGCTGTAAGCTGTGGAGTGTGGCAGATGGCGTGCAGACGTGTGGTCAAGGTCGGAGAACGTGTTACGAGGGAACTATTCAGTACGTGACATTGCGGCAAGGATGTATACTTTATGCTGACGGTGTCACGGTGCTATTTTCCACAGGCCCATTGGGAACGGAACCTACCACCGTTAATGGTTCCGAGACGGAGGATGCGGCTCCCGCTGCTGAGACCAAGAAGAAACAGTAGGAACGGGGTGCCTTTGATCCGAGAGATACCCTCTCTCGTTGGTAGACATAGGGTCCTGTCCAGAGCGTAGCGGCATCTGGACCTCCTTACTGGGTCAGGTTGGGGCCGGAGTACAGCGATTGGTAACTTACCACCGACGAGCCCCCATTCGACTGAATAGCGGAAGTATGCCCGTCTCTACTCGACGTCCAGGAGAGTGTGTGATTATAGACGTCGTGCGACGATGCCAGGCGGCGCTGGTCTGGTGTTGGTGGCAGCAGGACAGACAGCGATAAGATAACGAGAAGGATCTACGTGGCCTCCGGACACCTCTCTGTATTAGCGTTAAGAAATGATGCGCCCCGAACCGGGCGTAGGCAGCCTGGAATCACATGTGGTATCTACGGCTGAAGGTGGCGACCGCCGGAAGATAGTCAGAGTAGTATCACGGAGTATGGAGGAAGAGACGCTGCCGCGGCGGGGGAGAGAGCGGGGAGGGACCCCGGGCATTGCGGGTCGCGTGGACATGTGATTGTGGGCAAGTCGGAAACGGAGATGACGTCTGAAATCGCGTCCGGCTCAACAGCGCGGACACTCGGAGAGCCGCACCACATATATATCCCCTCTCTCCTCCTCCTTTCCTCCTCTCTCATCTTCTTACCCAACAATGGTCGCAGGCGTGCAAATCCACTCTCAGGTCTCCCCAAAGGCTCAGGCCGAAATCCTCACAGACGAAGCCCTCACCTTCCTCGCCGCCCTCCATAGGACATTCAACGCGACTCGCCTGGGTCTCCTCGTCGCCCGCGAGTCCGCACAGCAGCGGCTGGACTCGGGTGTCCCCCTCGACTTCCCCACAGAGACAGCTCAGATCCGCGCTGAGCCATCGTGGCAATGTGCACCCCCGGGCCCGGGCCTCGAGGACAGGCGCGTCGAGATTACAGGTCCGACCGACAGGAAGATGGTCGTGAATGCGCTGAACAGCGGCGCGAAGACTTTCATGGCGGATTTCGAAGGTGCGTCTCCCTCGGGGGAATTAGGGGCGCGACGCTCACGTGCAGAGCACACACAGACGCTACCTCGCCGACCTTTAGGGCTATGATCGAGGGGCAGGTGAATCTGCGCGACGCGATTCGCCGCCAGATCGACTTTGAAGCCAACGGGAAGCAATATAAGTTGTCTCCGAATCCGGCCGTACTCATCGTCAGGTGAGGTCTACCCCCTCCTGTTGCCTCCGCGGCCCGCTGACACCCTCGCAGGCCCCGTGGATGGCATCTCGACGAGCCCCGAGTCACCGTCGACAACACCCCCGTCTCTGGGTCTCTGTTTGACTTTGGAGTGTATTTCTTCCATAATGCAAAGGAGCTCGTGAAGCGCGGCTTCGGCCCCTACTTCTATCTCCCGAAGATGGAGCACTATCGTGAGGCACGTCTCTGGAACGACGTATTCCTCTTCTCGCAATCGTATATCGGCATGCAACATAACACCATTCGCGCGACCGTCTTGATCGAGACGCTTCCCGCTGCGTTCCAGATGGAGGAAATCCTCTTTGAGCTTCGTAATCACTCATCCGGCCTAAACTGTGGAAGGTAGATCTAATCCTACCATGTACGCGTGTGTGATGTGCTCACGCGCTCTCCTTCAGATGGGATTATATCTTCAGCTTCATCAAAAGGCGTCGCGCCGACAGGAGTGCCGTCCTACCTGACCGAAAGGATGTCACGATGGAGGTTGGCTTCATGGACGCTTACGTTCGTCTCCTCATCCAGACGTGTCACAAGTAAGCCCGAACAGTTGTGCTTCGTCATTTCTTTTGACTAATTGCTGCACCAGACGCAAAGTCGCTGCCATGGGCGGTATGTCCGCGCAGATCCCCATCAAGGGCGATGAAGAGGCGAACAGAATCGCTATGGACAAAGTCCGCGCTGACAAGCTGCGTGAAGTTACGAACGGGCATGACGGCACTTGGATCGCCCACCCACTCATCAACAAAATTGCTCGCGACGTGTTCGATGAGCACATGATCGGGCCCAACCAGGTATGCTTCCGTCTTGTGACGCACTGAGATCTGTAGCTGACGATCCTGGGTCAATAGTATCACATCCGTCGCGAAGATGTGCGTGTCGCGGCTCAGGACTTGCTCAACACCAAGGTACCTGGAAAAATCACCGTTGCTGGGGTGCGGTCAAACGTCGCAACCGCACTCGCTTACTCCGGCGCATGGATTGGCGGCAATGGCTGTATCCCTTTGAACTGGTTGATGGAGGATGCTGCCACGGCAGAAATCACTCGCGTGCAGCTGTGGCAATGGGTCCACCACGGTGCACGGCTCGACACTGGCGAGGCGATCACCGCCGAGTATGTCGATGCGCTTGTAGACGCACCGGACATTGAGCGCGAGGTGCGCGCCGCGGTACCGGCGTTGCAAGACGAACATCTGCGCATCGTCAAGGCCTACCTGAAGGAGCAGGTCCGGAAGCAGTGGCCAAGCGAGTTCTTGACCAGCGATCTCATGCCGTATCTCGCCGCTGCAGATGGTGTGCCGACGAAATGGCAGCGTAGCGTGTTGTGAGGGTGAATTCGGAGTGATTATGGGATGTGGTACAACCTCATTTTGTACTGTACGACTGTTGCACGCGTTGTTCTTCTGCATAGCGAAGATTCATCTGTATAATTACTTCATGTTCAATCGATGCCTTCTGAGGGTTTGTACATTGCTTTGCTGTTTCGCGGGCGACGGCGACATAAACTCTACACGCTAAAGAATAATTTTATTCGCAAATTCAAGCCTTTGACACCGAGACTTCTACGCCGTGGGCAAGCGCACGGCTGTATGGGCACATCTAGGGCGGGTATCAGCATCCTCGGGAAGCACACAAGGGAATAGCATATCACGTACGTCGTGCGCGGCCACAAGGAGCGACTCGTCCTCGACCCCCTCAACGCTCAGATGGACCTTCAGCCCAAAGCCATCGCGGTCCGAAGGATGCCCGAGCACGACGCTCGCGTGGATCTTCGCACGGTCGCCCACGGCCTTCTGGCCCGCACGCGACGCCGCGAGCTGCAGCGCGCCAAGGAAGCACGCTACCCCACCGTCAACCTGCGGGCACAACGGACTTGAGACGGGAGGGGCACGTACACGCATAACCCATCGCGAAGAGCTGCTCGGGGTTGTGCCCGTCGCCGCGCCCGCCCATCGCCTTGGGCGTCGCCATCTTCAGGCTGAGCGGGGGCGCGTCGGGCGCACCCTCCGACGCGACTTGGCCGTTGCGGCCGGCGCCCTGGGACGTCGCTTTCGCGATGTACTATATAGATGGGCAGGGGTGTTCAGAGAGAGCTCTGGGTTCGCGTGGTGCGGAGAGGTGGTGTTATACGTACGATTTCGTCTTTAAGGGTGATGAAGGTGCGGCACGGCGCGAATCGTGGGGTGCGCACAGCGGTGCGGGCGATTGAGGAGCGTAGGAGTGCAGACGACATCGTGCGAAGAGGATAAGGGACGGGACCAAGACGTGGTCAAGCGGATGCACGGTGGTTATATGTGGAGATGTGAGGGCGGAGTCGGACGGTCCGTTACGGGTCGGGGACATATGACGCAATGTCACAATCATCATTCGCAGAATACAGGTTGCGATAGTGTACACATCTAGGACACATCCGGGAGAAACACAAGGTCTAGCTGGTCACAAACCCGACCACGCTACACGATGTTAGGCTTTGGAGACGTTGACCACCGCACCATGCTTCAGAGCGCGACTGTACGGGCACATCTATGCCCGGCAGGACACTTGACCCAAGCATGACTTTACAAGTTAGGACTGCGCGTACCTCGTGGCCAGCATCGATCAACGCTTGGTCTGCAATTCCCTCCACCAGAATATCGACCGCGACACCCAGATCGTCCATTTCTGTGGCCTGGCCCATATGCACATTCGCATGCACGACGGCGTTGCGAGCCTCCTTGACCTTTCCCATGCGTCCCGCTGCAAGCTGCAAGGCCGTCAAGAAGCAGCCTGAAGGGGATCTCTGTGAGTAGATAGCTGGAATGGGA